AAAAAAAAAAAAATCCCCCCGCACAAAGGGGACCTTTTTCTTTTCTAGGAATCGTGCATTGCATCACGCCTCCTACTTGGCAACGTCGGCAGTCACAGTATCGCCGTTGGTAAGGTTCCAATACGCCAGCGTTTGCTTGAGCGTGGCGGGCTTACCGTTGACCTTGATCTTGATCTTGCTCGCTGCGACGGCGCTGCCGAGCACGTCCTGGTGCACGTAGTCGCGCAGCGTGGCAATGGTGGATTTGAGTGCAGCTTCGTACGCCTCCTCCCTGCCGTCGAAAAGTGCCAGCCGGAGTGTCACGGTGGGATGCGCGTGTGCTTCGAGCCACGTCTTTTCCGGATGCAGCGAGCCATCCGACTTCTTGGCCAGTGTGCTTGCGGAAGCTTGCGGCGCAGACGGCGGTGGTGGTGGCGACAGCTCGGTCTCGGCTGGTCGCTTGACACCTGCACTGACCGGGCCGGCGTCTTGGTGCGTGGACGGTCGAGCGGGCAGCGAGGCTGCGCTGTCAGCGAGCTGAATCGGACGGTCGTTGGTGGGATCCGCGCCGTCAGCCTCTGCGCCTTGCGCACCGGGGATGCTCGGGCCATACTCCGGGAGAACCACCTGAGGCCTTCCCGAGAGCCGGTTCATCTCGTTTTCGAGCCCGACGTTTTTGGCGAGCAACTCGCGAGCCGCGTTTCGCGACTTGGCATGACCGTCCCAGATGATCTTTTCCTTCTCCTTGGCGAGTCGCCTCTCTTCGGCCTCGCGGTGCAGACGCGCCTGCTCGTCCTCGTCGGTGCGTGCCGAGGCGAGCTGCTTGAGGTAGTACGTCGGGTCGGCACCTGCTTGGAGCGAGGCCTGCTGCGCCTTTTTGGCTTCGAGCTGCTGGCGCTGCTCGCGATACGCCGGGTTGAGCAGCTCGAAGCGCACATGCTCGGCCATCTCGTCGATCACCACCTCGTCGCCGCACACGGGACACTTGGTCATCGCTGCGCTGCCGCTCGGCTTGGCACGCGACGCAAGTCCGCGCGGAACATAGTCCTTGCGCACCTTGATCGTTCCACCCCGGCCCGCCTGCACCTCTTCAACGACCGGAGCGGACGGTTGAGCAGAGGACGAGGGCCGACCGGGCATGACGAGCTCCTCCACATCTTCGTCTGCGGCGGTGTCGGTGGTCTCCATGATCATGCTGGCCATCTTCTTCTGCGCGAGCGTCATGGACTCCATCTCGCGCAGCGATCGCGGTGCGGGTAGGTCGATATGCTGGTCGGTCTCGGTGAGCTCGACGGTGCCGACGACGACAAAGTCCTGCCAGTCGATCTCGTTGAACGCCTGACGCTGCTTCTCCTCGTCCTCGTCGTGCTTCTTGCGCCGCTCGTGCGCGTGCTTCTCCCACTCGGCGCGCGCCTTGACCTGCTCGAGCAAAGCAGGCCGAGCCCCGCCCCTACCGGCGCCCAGCGCAGGCTTGGCGCGTTGTTGACTGATGAGTTCGGGGTCTGTCGTGCCGTATGCTCCGAGCTTGACGCGGTCGAGCAGGGCTGGCGAGGGCGAGATGACGTTTTGGTACTGCTCGACGAGGTGGTTGAAGTAGGTGAATAGCGAGTGGCTTGGACGGAGGAACTCGAACTGGTACGACTTGGACTCGCGAGCAAGAAGAGATGTGGCAAAGGAGCGACCCTTTCGTGCAGTGAAGAGGGCGGTGAGCTTGAGCACATCGAGGTCCACCGCGGTGATGTTGGGCAGATCTGCCGAGAACTCAAACGGCTCGGGCTCGGCTGGAGCTTGACTGGATGATGCAGCAGCGGCGTTTGTCGAGCCGGACGGCCCTACATCCGACTGACGTAGTATCTGAGAGGTACTGTCGGCTGCATCGACAGCAACAGGCGTTAGTGTCTCGCCGCGACGGACGGCATCACGACGGGAGGCATAGTAGGGGTGGTAGGCATCATCTTCCTTGAGAAAGGCGAACTTTGGATTGTTGCTCTCTGCAGACTTGATGTTGGCCTCGAACGAGGGATCCTTCTTTGCGATGAGCTCGGCTGCCTTGTCGATGGTCCTGCGCAGCTCGGGGGGCGGATAGATGATGCCGCCTGTGGAAGCGAATTTGGAAGTGGAGGGAGCGGATGCCGAGGCGAGCGTGTTGTCGGTGCCGTGGGCGGGTGCAGGCAGGTTGAGCGAGGGCGCCATGATGGCGGAAGGTGTGCGCGGATCGAGCAGCGAGAATGTGATGGTGCCGAGCAGATGGATGATGCGGAGCACGGAAGTTGACATGAGCTCGAATGGACCTGCATTCTGGATTGCCTGGCAGCTCGGAAAACGGGCTCCAAATTTCGATCGGCAATCGGCGACTCAGTGAGGTGGGCATCGGCGATCCAAGAAGAACACACACCGGCGGCGCCCTTCTGAATGAACCGCACTGGGCCGCGCTGTGCTGCTGTGCGTTTGCCGTGACGCAGCGGATTGTGGGCGGAGGCGGGCGGCGGCTGCATTTTTGGAATGATTTTGACAAAAGTGACTCGCTTCGGGTGCTTGAACAAAGCCGCGCTTCGTGATTCACGGCGACGTTCCGATTGACTCTTGCGATCCTATCCTGCTCTGCTTGTTTGCTCTTCACCCCCACGACCGAACCTCGATCGCATTACGTTTGGCTCGTTACCATCACCCAACCCTCGTGCCTTGGCGCTAACTTCCGCCCAGCTTATTTGCTCCGTGTCCGACAGCAACCGATCCGCGCCCACGCATTGCTGCCAAGCCTCGCGTTAATCCCATCCCTGCGCAACCACAGCAACCACGCCCGCACACGCACATACCCAAGCCTAGCGCTGCACACATAGCAACGTTTCCACCGCTCCGGTCGCGGCGCGGCACCACCAACTTAATCTTCACACCAGCCTCATTGTCAACGCCCCCGGGCACTCGTCGTTCCTGGCTCTCATCCATACAGCGCTCGAGCTTGCACTCGCTCGTACGATCCGCACACAACCATGGCTCTGGTACGTCGGCCCCTAACCGCTCCGCCGTCTTCCTCCAAACGTATATATGATAGCATGTTGCTGACTTTTGGATCTGTCTCTGTTCATCTTACCCCTTCTCAACTGCGCTACCATGGACTCTGCAATGCAGCACGCTCTCAAGCCGTCGCTGGCCGAAGTCCAGGCGGCGCTCCTCTCGCCCGAGCCCAAGGGCAACATCGTCCCCGTCTACACATCGCTCCCCTCCGACCTGCTGACGCCCGTCACTGCATACCTCAAGCTCTCGAATGGCGCCGACACCTCGCGTCGCTCGTTCCTCTTCGAGTCCGTCACCGGCGGAGAGAAAATCGGCCGCTACTCGTTCATCGGCTCCGACCCGCTCAAGATCATCCGCACTGGACCAGGGCTCGATGCAGAGGGCGACCCGCTGCTCGTGATCGAGAAGGAGCTGAGCCCGTACAAGTACATCCCCGTGCAGGGCCTGCCTACGTTCACGGGCGGTGCGATCGGCTACATCAGCTACGACTGCGTGCAGTACTTTGAGCCACGCACCAAGCGCGATCTCAAGGACGTGCTCGGCATCCCCGAGAGCGTCTTCATGGTCGCTGACTCGCTCATCGTCTTTGACCACGTCTTCAGCACCGTTCGCTGCGTCAGCCACGTGCATCTGCCCGCCGAGCACAGCAACGCCACGCCCGCCGATGTCGAGGCGCTGTATGCCAAGGCCAACGACAAGATCCAGCACCTCATCAAGGTGCTCACGGGCGCCAGCACACCGTTGCCCGAGCAGCCGCCCATTCTTACGGGCCAGGAGGCCGTGTCGAACGTGGGCCAGGCCGGATACGAGGGCTTTGTCACGTCGCTGCGCAAGAACATTGTCAAGGGCGATATCATCCAGGCGGTGCCCTCGCAGCGACTCACGCGCAGGACCACGCTGCACGCATTCAACT